CATAAGTTCTTTATCTGTTTTTTGAGCTAAGTTCTGAGAGGTATTTATCATATGTATATTATAAATGATATATAATAGACAACATCTTGGACAACAGTTTTCTAGCGAATGCAGAAGTGCTTTTGAGACGGTTCTTTCTTGCTTTGGCTATTGACGTGGGTTGAAGGAAACATGAATGCCTAATTAGGTCAGGTGCTTTGCAAAGACTGAGGCCATGTTATTCAGGGTATTTCAGGCCTTTTAAAATTTTCCGATAGTGGTTGTTTGGTTAGGGCTAAGGGAATTCTCTCTTCTAATCAGTAGCCAATGTTTGGGCTGCAGCTGGCTGAGAACAGAATTTTTCTCTCGCTGGTCCCCAGAAAACTTTATTCTAGTTCCCTGTTAACAGATCTTCGAGGTGCAAAGGGGCAGGCAGCTCCTACAAGAAGCAAAGCTTTTTCATCTCCCGCCACCACCATCTGAGCTGGCTTTTCTGTGTCTGATTTCATTTCCTGTGCATTGAGAGTTCACCATCTTATTTTAACCCCAGCACCACACCAGAACAGTAGATCTTGTTTTTTTAAACTTTGTGTATAACAAAGTACCCCAGAAGTTAGTGGCTTAAAATAGCAGCTATTCATTGGCTCCTGATTCTGTCGTAAGGACTGGGGTCGCAATTCTGAGTAAGGGCGGCGCATCTCTGCTCTTCAAGGTGTTGGCTGGGCTCCCCCATGCCTTTGCAATCGGCTGGTGGCTGAAGGATCCAACATGGCCTCCATCACATGTCTGGGACCTCAGTGGGTGGCCTGAGTGACTGGACACTCCCTGGGCCTCTCATCTTCAAGGAGGCTGGCTCGGGCTTCCTTACTTAGGGAGCAAGAGAGTGAAAGCAGAAGCTGTCAGATCTCCTAAGGCCTAGGCCTGGAGCTTACATGGCACCCCTCCTGCTGCACCTGTTGTCACAAGGCCAGCCCAGGCTTAGTGTGCGAGTCAGCTTCACAAGGATGTGAATTCAGAGAGGTGGCATTCACCGGGGATCATCGGTGGCAATCGTCCACGGCCCTCTCCATCAATACCTCAGTGACAGCGATCCCCATAGGCAGCGAGTCTCACCTGAGGGGTAAGGGGGAGAAGGGGACAGGTAAGTTCTCCCTGGGGGCCGGGGAGGAGGGTCCTTTGGTTCTGACCCAGTTCTCACTGCAAGTTCTGTGCACTCGCCACTTAACTGCCAGCGTCAAAAGCCAAAGATCAGGCCTTACGAGCTCTATTTAAAATTTCTATTTAAAATGACTTTGAAGTGATGAAACAGGAAACGTTTAAAGAACCTCCTGACAACTGTCATGAAGGCCTTGTAAGCGTGGGGCACGTGGGGTTACGCCGCTGCGTGGCTGACCTCCTGCCATGTGTGAGACAGTGGCCTCCCCAGGCCTCCCCGGGCAGTTGTGCAGCTGGGGATCACAGAGTCATCTTCCTTTTAGTTAAAGTGAGATACACAATGTGTTAGTGACAGCCCCAAAGTCAGCTGCATCTTCTCCAGGCTGGAATGAGCACGCCTGACAGCCCCCACTGTCCCAAGCTCCGGACAAGGGTTACACTGTTGAAAAGGATGAAAAGGATGACTTGAATGACAACAAAGGCCACATGCTCATTGCTTTTGCAGAAGCTGGAAAGCTGGAAGGGCTAGATAACCAAGACACTGGGTAACAGAAGCAGGGAGAAAGCGTTCTGACTTCGCAGAAACAGTGTAATCTTGAAAAAGATTGAGTTAGGGGCTGGCCCGGTGGCACAGCAGTTAAGTGTGCATGTTCCGCTTCTCGGCGGCCCGGGGTTTGCTGGTTCAGATCCCGGGTGCGGACATGGCACCGCTTGGCAAAAGCCATGCTGTGGTAGGCGTCCCACATATTAAGTAGAGGAAGATGGGCATGGATGTTAGCTCAGGGCCAGTTTTCCTTGGCAAAAAGAGGAGGATTGGCAGTAGTTAGCTCAGGGCTAATCTTCCTCAAAAAAAAATACATTGAGTTAAAGAGGACTAAACATAAGATCCTATGTTTTGGCTCCGAGCATGCAGGTACACACACAAACACGCACGCGTGCATCCATGAAGAGATGGGAGGAAGGAGGCCTGACTTAGCAGCACTTTGTGCAAAGAACCTATAGGTATGTGTTTCCAGTAAGCTCAGTTTGAGTCAAAAGTGGGCAAAGTTAATGTGACCTTAAACTGTATGAATAGGAGCATAGATTCTAGAATAAGGGAGGTGATTGATTCCCTCTATTCTGTATAGCCCAATTTACTCCAGAAGTATTAGGCCAATTTCTAGGTGCATAATTTAAAAGTGTTAGTGAAAAACTAACATATTTAGAGGGAAGTTCAACAGAGTAAAAGAATTTGAACTCAAAAGATATGAGGAAATATAAGGAGGAACTGAAGACATTTGACCTAGAGAAATCCTCAGCAAGGACTTAAGGATGCTCTTCAACTCTAAATGGTTGTCATGTGGAAGAGGGACTTGATCTGCCCTCTTTGGCCCCAAAATAAGTCTTAGACCAATGGGTAGAAGGCTGAGGGACCTTGGCCTTTGGAGGGCAAAAAAAAAGGCCATCTAAAGTTGGCAAGGCCCAATAAGGAATGGACTGCGTAGCTTCCCAGTCACTGCGGGGGCTGGGAACCACTCATCAGGATAGACAGGGGGATTCAAACCTTAGGTGGGTAATTGGTTCAAGACAAACTTTAAAATCCTGTCCTTCTAACTAAGTCTGAGGTCCTGGGAGTCACAGGGACTTGCTCAAGGTCACAGAGCAAGTAAGTGGCTGTCCAGGACCAGGCTCCAGCCTGCCTCTCAGCATTTAGGCCTCGGATGGCTAGCCTCTTCACTTCCTCCATAACTCGAGCTGGGATGCAAAGAGCAGCCTAGGGACCACATCCTCCCCATCCCTCCAGGCCTAACTGTTTAGCCAGCATCATGTGTAAAAAGATGTGAAATCAGTGTCCATAGGAGGGCACACCGACTCTGGCAGGACCACTGTGCCCCCCACCTCCTGTCTTCCCTGGCATGAGGCCCTTGCACACGTTTCCATCTCCTGCTTGGCCCCTGCCCTCACTGCTTGCAGACTTCTACCCTAGGGGCAGGACCGGGCAGGGCAGGAAGACGTGGTCCTGGGCGGAGCGTGCGAAGAAGGCTCTGTCAGCCAGGGATGGATCCTCTGACTCCTAGGGACTTCAGCTTCCACGCCCAGCCCCTCGCAACTGCCACTGTGAGGGAGGGGGGAGGGAAGGAGAGAAAGGAGGCTTTCTTTTTTTGAGCATCTGCTGCGTGTTATGCACTTTTGACACGGGTTAATCCCATTGCTTCCTCATAACAGCCATATTCGTTTCCTAGGACTACCCTAACAAAGTACCACAAACGGCATGGCTTAGAACAATAGAGATTGGCTCTGGAGTCCAGAAGCAAGGGGTCTGTGAGGCCGTGCTCCCTCTGCAGTGGCACGGAAGCCTCCGTCCCGGCCCCCTCCTAGCTTCCGGTGCCCTCAGATGCTCGCTGGCTTGTAGATGACCCTCTTCTGTTTATGTCTCCTCACTTGTCTTCCTTCCGGGCGTCTGTCTCTGTGTCCGTATTTCCCCCTTTTGTAAGAATACCAGTCATATTGATTAGGGCCTAGGGACCTTATGTTAACTTGGTAAATCTGCAAAGACCCTATTTCCAAATCAGGTCATATTCGGAGGTACTAGAAGTTAGACTTCAGCATACCTTTTTGGAGAGATACAATTGCACCCAGAACAGCCCACCCTCTGGTTCCCCAAATTCTTGTCCCTCCTACATGTAAAAATACATTCACCCGTCCGAACATCCTCACGGACAGCAGACGCTGGTTTAGTAACAGGCCCAGGACCATAATGCTAACACGGGAAGCGGACTTAAAATGCGGCGTTGCTGACTCTGGACACGGCCCTCTTTCTCCAACACTGCGCTGCTGCGTGGGCCACGCCTACCGTGAGCCAGGCACTGTTCCAGAGCCTCGTGCCCTTTCCTCACACTTAGTGGTCCGCTTGTCTGGTGGGGCCCAGAGTGGGCACCAAGGGACACGGAGCTCCTACGGTCCTCTGCTAAGGACTGGGCCCAGCCCAGGTGGGTCTGGCCCAGGGCCTGGGTGTGGGCAGGCCGAGAAGATGGGAGGAGGGCAACTGAGGGGCAGGTGCGGGGAAACCCAGGCGAAGAGTGGGAATGGAGTCCTGGGGAGGTGCTCTGCATGCAGGTGGGAGAGTGTGGCCCACTCAGGTGGTCTTTTGGGGGAGCCAGCCGTCACAGGCTGTTACCTGAGCTTCTGTGGAAAACGCAGTGAGCGTGGCTGCTGTGCTGTCACTACTGAGGAACGAGGGGCAGCTGGGGCCGGTCCTATTGCTGCGGGCCCCGTCTACAGTGGTGGAGAAGCAGGGGAGTCACATTCTGAGCCAGGCCCCACAACAGCAGGCAACAGACTAACGCCAAACGCTCACACGGCGCAGCTCCTGGTTGTCCGCTTCCCGGAAACATGGAGGTCCAGGCAGGAGTGAGAGCCGGGCGGTAATCTTCGCAGATGGAGCTTTCTCTGGGGATCAGGGAAGGACCAGTGGAGGGTGCTGAGGTAGAAGGAGCCCGCTGAGCTGATGAGAAGAATGTGGCTTTTGAAGTCATTAGGCCCGACTTGAAACCACACTCTGTCACCCACAGGCTGCATGACATTGGACAAATTGATAAACCCTTCTGAGCACCACTTTCCCACAGGCTTGTTCTGAAGGTTAAATAGACAATGTGTGTGAGGAGTGTGACCCTGTGCAAGTTGCTGGGCTCAGTGAATTCTCTTTCCATCTCTGTTTTTCCCCCCAAAGCTGAACTGCACTGGCCATCCTGGGGAATAGCAAGGAAGACCCCGGGAGAAGGGGAACAGACCCCGTGCCTCTCTCTGGGGGTCAGTTCACCCTAAGATGGGGAATGTCTTGATTGCTCCTGCCCCATCACGCTAAGGATGGCTTTTTCCCCTCACAGAGGAGCTGAAGGAGAAGCTGACGGAGTATGTGGACAAGGTGAACGGCCAGAAGCCCGGCTTCATCAAAGTCGTGCGCCACAGCAAGCAGGAAGGCCTCATCCGCTCCAGGGTCAGCGGCTGGAGGGCGGCCACCGCACCCGTCGTGGCGCTCTTTGATGCCCATGTGGAGTTCAATGTGGGCTGGTAAGTGCCCGTCAAGAGAGAAGGATGAGTCCCAGTGCGGTCCAGACGCTTTGGCGCATATGGGTGCAAAGCATGCTGGGATCTCAGTCATAGTGGGGAAAGATATGATGAGTCATCTGGGAACAGATGAGATCTGGGCGTGTGAGTGACCTAGGCAACAGGGCTGGCCCTTCCGGTCGGGGAGGGTCAGGGGTCAACAGGTCAATACACGGTGTCTAAAGGGTATGGTGACATAAGGTGTGACTCCGGCTGGTGTGGTCCTCTAGGAGACATGATCTGGGAGAGGGAGAAATGCTGAGAGCCAAGCAGAGAGTGCCAGGCTGGCTGAGGCCAGGGCTCAACCCCCAGGAAAGGCAGACTGGACCAGACATGAGACAGAAGCCCAGCCCCACAGCCGGGGCCAAGACCAAGTGAGCAGAGGGGCCAAGGTGGCTTGATGTTGTCACAGGTGCCCTGGGCTCCCCTAAATGCCAGGCCGATAGCACAGAATCTGAGATTCTCCCTACTGGTGAAACTAGCTCTTAGAAAACCTTTCTTTCTCTGTCAGGGCTGCTCAGGTGCTGCGTGGGGCAAGAGAGCAGATGCAAGGCCTCAGTGGCTGCAGCCAGGCTGGGATAGGGCACCTGATGCTGACTTCCCTGGGGGCTGGAGGGCACACTGCGGCCCACTGTGTGTGGCATCGAAGGCCAGGCTCTGGGGATGACTGAGTGTACACCCTCCTAAGCCGTGTGCCTGACGACACTGCGGTCTGCCTCCTCCCAGACTCCAGGGCCATCCTGTGCCTCCCCAGAGTGGGCTGTGGAGGGCCCTTTAGCAAGAGGGAGCAGCCGGGCGCGCACACAGCATGACAGGATTGGGGCCTCCTTTTACATTACAGGCTTGAATTCAGGCTGCGGTGCAGCCATTTGTCATAGTTGAAGTCCCTGCTTGCCATTTGTGACTGTTTAAAAAGCATTTTCATTGGATTTATGGCCAGAAGAGAGGGACACTTACTATTTCAAGCTGATTTGAATAAACAATTATACAACGAATGCATTATTAATGAGAAGCTTATCATTCCTGTCTGCAAACACTTCACTCGCCTGGTGCCCAGAGGGGCCTCCTGGCTCCCTGGGGGCCCCGAGCCGCCCTGCTCGTGGGGCAGTAGGGAATGCGTGGGGTGGGCGTGCCCATGGGGAAGGACCAAAGCATCACGGCATGCCTGGTGGAAGTGAGTTTGCTCCCACCTCCCTGTCTCCACCACCCTCATCTGCCTTTTCCTCCTGGTGGGTACACAGAATTTTGCAAAATCAAAGCCCAAGTTGAAAGCTTCCCGTGGAACCTCAGATCTGTTCCTTTCTTCTTTCTTGAGGCTTGAATTTTTCTCTAGTGGAAAAGGGAGAGCCAGCAGACACAAGGATCTGAGGCCCTAAGATGCTCTCAGCTCACCCCGGACGAGCTGAAGGAGTGAGCAGGCCTCTGGCCAACCCAGAAGTAGGGCGGATGGGAGTGACCAGGAAGCCCTTCCCAGAGGCCCTAGCAGCTCTCCCCTGGAGGGGTGGCTGGGTGGTTTTCCTCTTTCTGCGGGGCAGACGCATCAGGAGTTGCCAACCTGGTGTTCGTCCGGCTTGGAAGCACTTGCCGTCTCTCCCTCCCTCCTGCTCAGGGCGGAACCCGTGCTCACCCGCATAAAGGAGAACCGGAAGCGCATCATCTCGCCATCCTTCGACAACATCAAGTATGACAACTTTGAGATAGAAGAGTACCCGCTGGCCGCCCAGGGCTTTGACTGGGAGCTGTGGTGCCGCTACCTAAACCCACCAAAGGCCTGGTGGAAGCTGGAGAACTCCACGGCCCCCATCAGGTAAAGCCTCCTTACCTGTGGGTCTCTCCACCTTGTCTCCCAGGCAGGGGCTCCCCTCCCAGCCCAACCTTATTCCCTGAACTCCAGCCCCATGGTGGGGGTGGGGGTGGAGAGCAATGACAAATGACCTCTGGTCACTGCTCACAGGCTCAGATGATGCCTTTTAAAAGAACCATGGTGCCCAGAATCCATTCAGAGGCTCAAAGTTCCTCATTTCAACCCATCACTGTGGGACACCTGCTGGGTGCCACCTGCTGTGTGGGTGCTGGGACTCTGGAGTGATTAAGACTCGATTCCTGCCCCCAAAGCCTGGAGTCCAGTGAAGACAGACAAAATCATTAGAATAACTGATGACTCCGCCACACCGTGGAGACTGCATGAACAGCGAGGAGAGTCCTTTTCAGAGAGTGTAGCATTTGCACTTGCTCATAGGGGCAAGTAGGAGATGGCAGATGAGTTCATGGACACGGAGGGGGTTCAAAGGGCCTGGGAGGAGGGCCGTGAGGGGGCAGCCCTGGCAGTGAGGCTGGAGGGGCAGAGGCAAGAGCAGACCCAGGCACCTCATGTGCCTCACTGATGTTCGAGCTTATCCTGTAGGACTCAAACAAAAGTGGCTTCAAACTGCATTTCAAAGATCCCAAACTCACTCTGCTTTTGCTGTGCCTTCATAGGGCCCAGAAGGACTCCGCGCAGCCTGTGTTTTATGGGTTAGGATTCCCGAATCAGCAGCCCCCACCAGCCCATGTTTCTGTCTGGTTAATCACAGATCAGGTGCCTTTACACTTTCTGCAGAGTCCTGCCCGTTAAACACACAGACGGCTCCAGAAGGTGGCCTAGGGGACAGTCCCTGGAATGAAAGAGGAGATTAGAAAATGATGTTGCTTTGTATTACATGAGGAAGAAAGATTATGAAAAATTTAATTGAAAATGGGCGATTATTATCTAAGATCACATTTTTCCTTGCCAGAAGAAAAAACTATATTCCTATTTCAAACAGGATGGAGGCGAACTCCACAGAGCTTTACCGCAGTTCTCTCTGTTACCTATTTGTTAGCCTTCTGCCACAATTTTGTGGGGTTAAATACTTGTTTGGAGGTTACTATGTGCAGGGGCCTTTTACACACATAGTCTCATTGGCTCCTCATCGTAACCTGGCGACAGCTGTTTGTGTCAGCCCTGTTTTGTAAGACGAGGAAAGCAAGACTGATAAAGGAGAATGGGCCGGGCAAGGGCTCTGGGCAGTGGAGCCAGCATCTGAACCCAGATCAGCTGGATTCCTTGCCCCCGTTGCCATCTGCCTAGTCACCCACTGCTGAGCTCAGAACTGGTGTGGCCGAATTCTGCCCTCAGGCCTGTTGAAGGCTGCTTGGGGGAAATATGCCATCACCCAGTGAGCGTTCTTGCAGAAGGCTGCCCTGACAGTAGCTGCCTCTGCTCTGCTCGTCTCTGAGTGTAGTAGCCTGGTCGTAGGAAACCTGCAGTCTGGGTCCTTGACAGAGAATATCCTCTCAGCTTCAAATTTTCCATCCCCAAGTTTTTATCAAAAACTTGGCTGGGGGCCAGCCCCGTGGCCGAGTGGTTAAGTTTGTGTGCTCTGCTTCAGGAGCCCAGGGTTTTGCTGGTTCGGATCCTGTGCGCGGACATGGCACCGCTCACCAGGCCATGCTGAGGTGGCGTCCCACATTCCACAACTAGAAGGACTTACAGTTAGAATATACAGCTATGTACTGGGGGCCTTTGGGGAGAAGGAGGAAAAAAAAGAAGATTGGCAACAGATGTTAGCTCAGGTGCTAATCTTTAAAAAAAAAAAGAAAGAAAACTTGGTCGAGAGAAATGGTATTAATGGAAGGTTTTTAGAAGAACATTCCTGGTTTTATCCCTACATGAAGACAGCCCCATCGAAAACTGTGGGTTCTACAAATTTATCTTTCCCACCTCAGCTCCTATTTCCTTGGAGCTTCACTTTAGTGCTTTGTCCACACATGATGTAAGTTATAAAAAGAGCCCAGAGATATCTTCTATTATGTCCTAAAGGGATGTCTTTGAGATGGTTGTTCACTACATCCCGAAGTAACTTCTTTAAGACTGACATGAGAAATTCCTTTCAAACTGACTATAGTCAAAGAAAGCCTTGCCATCCCTGAGGAATTAGTATGAGATTTTCACATGGAAACTGTAAACCTTATTTCTAAGACCATGGATGTTCATTTTTACCTTGGCCACTGGGAAACTCAGAGTCAACTTTGTGCTTTCACTTTAAGAACTATGAAGGACCTAAGGCTGCACATGCTTTCTAAATGGCCCCCAATTTGTAATGAACTTTTGGTCTTTTCAGACATTTATCTGTTTTGCTTTTCAATGTATTTTACATTTTCTTGTAAGCTATTTCTAATCTTTTTGGGAATGAGGCAAGGTATAAATCAATAACACTTTCAGGGTGATTGGGTCCACTTAATGCCCTGGCTGGTTAATAAATAATAGACTGCCTCGGGCGGCCTGTGCTCATCCCAGAGTAACTGTTCAAGATTCTGTTCTTTCCCTGACTGGGCCTGGCTGTATGGAGAAGGCCTTAAATGATCTTTCGAGTACCAGTTACATCCCAGAGATTTCGAGTGCTTTCCATGATTTAATTTAATCCTCTTAAGGTTATGGTTGATTCCGTTTCATAGATATGGAATCAGAGGTTCAGAGAGGTTAGGGAGTTTCTCTCAGAGACACACAGCCAGAAAGGGGATTTTTTTCCATAGCGCTCACATCCAAGGCCAAGGTCAGGCGTCCCCTACCGGAGCAGGAACTCGACCTGCTTTAGGAGCAGTGGACTGAGGTAGATTGACCTCCCAGATGCCCGTGGTCTATGGATGGCGAGGCCATTCAGAGTAAAATGCTGTGGTATGAAAGGAGGAGAGGCAGGGAGCCCCAAGCTCCAGTCTCTGCCTGAGTGGCTTCCTGCATCAGCATTCCCCAAAGAAATGGCCTACAAAATACTGTAGCTGTTTCTCCACCTTGATGGTTTCCAGTTTCAAAAATGGGTCCATTTGCATGTTTTCTCATTGCCAAGAATTCTTTATTTCTCCTTTTCTTTCTCTTTCCCTCCAAATCCTTCAGCCACCAGCTGATAAGATGCTACGCAAGGGCTAGAAACGGTAGCCGTGTGCAGTGGGACAATTCAAAGTCAGTTGTGTGAGTTAATGCTCTTGGCAGAGAGGCAGTCCACGTGCGCTCCTGCTGCTTCACCTGATGTGGCTCGCTCCTTGTGAAGTCCTGGGCTGGGTGTCTGCGTGTAGCCGGCAAGCCCCATGCTCACACTCTCAATAAGGAAAGGACCTACTGGGTGTTAATGTCTTGCTCCAGCCTAAGCCCCCTGCTAATTTCCAGACCCAGGCCGGCTCTCTGCACCCTGCCTGTTGGATCTCCCCTTAGGGTCCCCCAGGCATTAAGATCAGCTTTCCCAGGACAGAATGCTTCTTCCTTCTGAAACCAGCTTCTTCTGTATACCCCGGATTGATGAGTGGCCCTCACCCCACCGCCACCCAAGAGAGAAAGCCTCCAGGTTCCTCCCTCACTCTCGTAGGTCATCTGTTTATTTTACATCAAAATACGTCTTTTGACAATCCCTATCTCCATTCCAGATTCTCTGGTCGAGGTCCTCATCATTTGTCACCTAGATATAGCAACAAGCTTCCCAAGTGGATTCCTCAGTTTCCACCCAGTCTCCTCCAGTCAGTCACCCCACAGCTGCCTGAGTATTCTTTTTAAAAACATGGATCTGCTCATACTGCTGTCTGCTTAAAATTCCTTGTTGGTACTCCTTTCCCTCCCGATAAAAATCCAAATTATTTACCAGGCTGTCCAAAGCCCCAGCGAATCTTTCTAAATGGAGCCAGGTTGGCATGCAGAACCCTAGTTGGGGAATGATGGGGAAGTTGGCGTGGGTGCCCAGGTAGAAACAGAGACTGGCTATGCAGCTCAGAGTTCAGGGTCAGGGCAGCTGGAGAGACAGACATTCAATCCCCACTAGCAGACTGCGCACTCCTCCTCTGCTAACACACACGCAGGCACCACTGGGAATGATGGCTGGTCCCAGGACAAGAGCTATCTACCACTGCCCAATGAAACAGCCTCCCTGGGGCAGCTGGTGAGGGTAGACCCAGGAGGATCCCTGAGAGAACCAGATCCTCCTGGTAGGAAGGTACCACTGTTTTCGCTCCTCTGGCGACCGCCATGACACAGCCCCTCCGCTAACTGCTGGCCCGTCTCCCCACACCCCTGCAGGAGCCCTGCCCTCATTGGCTGCTTCATTGTGGACCGGCAGTACTTCCAGGAGATCGGCTTACTGGACGAGGGCATGGAGGTCTACGGAGGCGAGAACGTCGAGCTCGGGATCAGGGTGAGCAGGGGTTCTCACCCCCAGAGCTTGGCTCAGCTCCCCAGAGGGCGAATGAGCCTGGGGGGTGGAGAAATGGGGATCAAGGTTGAGGGCCATTGACTGATTCTGAATATCCAGTCCCTAATCTTGGCCCATGCGTGTGTGATTAGGGCTGATGAGGACAGGATGGAGACACAGGATGGGACTCATAGAATTTTCAGGAAGAAAAAGACTTCAGAAACCGCTTTGGCTGGAGGTGGGAAGGGACATGGGAGAGTTGAGCTCCCAACTCAAGGGAACAACCTCTTTGTTGTTCCCAAGGCCAAACACAGGCTCCTTGGGGGGAGTGAAGGTGAGCTCCAGGAGACTGCAGGCACCGAGGTGGGCTGGACAAGAGGGACCCTCAGAGTCACTTCCCCCCAGAGCCACCTCCTCTTGGGATTTCTCACTCTGGTATTCTCTGTCTCCTCCACAGTGACCCACACAACTTTCCTAAAGACACTGTCAAGAGAGGGCTACAGGGAAATAAGCTCATGGTACATAAACAGCAAAACACAGCCGGGCTCACACTATGCTGGTTTCCGACACCACCACATGCTGGTCCAACCCTCAGGCCCATTCATGCCTCACACCGTTCTCCGGAGGTAGCCACCATCCTGCCCCAGGGTACAGGGCCCTTTGTGACTATCCAGCACATGGTGTGAATCCACAACGGGCACCATTTAATTTCTCATCCTACTGAAACATTTCCTAGGCTCTGGCCCCTTTCCCTGGGCCTATGAAAAGATAACTCCAAAATGAACCCATCCCCCATGCTGAGGGATACGTTGGGTCCCCTGATAGTTTGTATGAATGTGATGATGGATACAATGAAGTGCCTCATCCTAGAGGGAAGCCTACCCCTCTGTTCAGGTTGTGCTTCTATCCTCATGAAAAACCCAACATTCGAGCTGTGGCTTGTCCCCGTGATGGTCCCCACGGTCCTCTCCATGGGGATCTTTAAGCGGCCTGACACACCCACGCACTACAGGCTTTTAGCCCTTGGAGGGGACCTGGTACCTGCTGGTGATCATGGCAGTCATCCAAGATGTTCCTCCTCACTGCCAGCCCTCCGTGCAGACCACCCCAGCATCTGGCTGGCTCCTAGTAGGGACCCCACTCTTGCCCCTTTAGCCTTAGCCTCTGCATCTGGCATCTCTAGTTCCTGATGCTCACTTCCCACTCAAGGACTCCAGCTTGGATACCCCCTCCTCTCAACTCCAACCTTCCCGGCCCTCCCACCTGCTGGACAGCCCTCACCCTGCCCTGAGGGGAGACTGGGCACCTGCAGTGAGCATCTCCCTCCTGCAGCGGCCTGCAGGCACCATGTGGGCCTGACTTGTCGCCCAGACTTAACACTCGGGCTTTGAGGACTGGCAGTGGGAGCAGTTTGTCTGAAGGCGAGCTTAGAAAACACCTCCAGACACCCATATTCACTGAAACCCAGAGAAATTGCTTTGGAGGAAGTCAAAATGCATGGGCTTATTGGGGAGCTAATCTATTCATGGAGGACAGCGCCTGCATAATCGCCTCATTTCTCCAGCTGGCCCTGCACGGGGCATTCATTCACCATTTGCATCCTCACCGTCTCCTTTCAGCAGCGCTCCTAGATAAATTCTCTCCCCGAAACATAACATTTTTTTACTAGGAGCTGCCGCCGGGAATTGGCTGAGCAGACAGGACCGCCTCTTGTCACTTATGCTCCCTGGGTGAAGGTGTCTGGGATCGGAGAGAGGAATTAGATATGTGAACTCTGCTTCCAACACGTATGAGAGTCCGTCATACGGTGATGGGAGCAGTCTGCGTTTTCCTCCCTAGGTTGTAAAGCTGGTCTGGAGTGTGGGCCTGGGGGAGGCTTTCAAATGCTTGTTGAAAATCTTTGGGTGGTTTTGTGTTCGGGGTATAAAATGCAGTATGAACTGTTGTCTGGCTTTTTTTTTTTTTTTCCCTCCATCACTTCCCTCCCGCTTGATGGAGGTGAAGTGCTGTAGGAGTTGAAGGAAAGGTGGCTTTTAAAGCAGGGGCCCAACAACCTGTTGGCTGGCCGAGCTGAGAACAGAAGGAGGGGCTGGTTAATTCGGATTCAGTCCCCCTTTAAGGGATACAGAGCGCCGAGCATCTCCAAAATAGATTTCCACATTTTGCGTGGTTAGCCACATTTTCTTTCATGTTCTGTGAGTTAACATCTCGGTGCCTCACTCTCCTGGTCTAGGATCTCCCCTCAATTACCCCACAGGATTGTGCGTAAAAATGAGAGACAGTGCTTTTCTCACCTCAATATTCAGAGGCAGCTTATTCAAAGTCCTTGCCCATTTGGAACACACAAACAGAATTGTTTGCACAATTATTCAGTACCTGCTTTGGCACTTTGCATCCATCTACAAAACACCCTAAAAAGTAGCTGTTACTATAATATATCCTTTTTTCAGATGAGGAAATTGTGAAATTAAGAGTTTACATATGTTCTCAAGGTCATCCAACTTATAAAAGGTAGAGAAAAGATTCAACCCCAGATCTTTATGATTCTAAAGCCTAGACAGATATGCCACAGTGATCTAGGATAAAGGTCCTTTAAGCATCCACAAAAAAGTATTAAAATGTCCATGCAGTAATTTCCTTCTACTTTATTCACAATCATGTCTACTGAGGCCCTATTTAAAGCCTTATTCTTATTTTGCACTCAATTCTAATTGGCCTTTTGTCCTCCTGATTTCTAAGTCCACAACTCAGGTGGGGAGAGGAAGGGAACTGCTGTGGGCAAGGAGAATGAAAAGAATGAGAAATAAGAGTGAACACCGAATAGGAGACAGAAAGACTGCATAGATGGTGGCTATGAAAATGCTAGAATATACAAGAAAGTATTCAAGAGCTGGCAAGGAATTAAGAAATTGTTAGAGGCTTTTATGGGTTGAATTGAGTCCCCTCAAAATATATTGAAGTTCTAACCCCCTGTATCTGTGAATATGATCTTATTTGAAAATAGGGTCTTTGCAGATGTAATCAGCTTAAGATGAGGTCACAATGGGTTAGGGTGGGCCCTAATCCAATGTGACTGGTGTTCTTATAAAAGAAGGAAGATTTGGATACAGACAGACACAGAGGGAAGATGACCATGTGAAGATGGAGGCAGAGACTGAAGTAACGATGCCACAAGCCAAGGAATGTCTGGAGCTACCAGAAGCTGAAAGAGGCAAGGAAGGATCCTCCGCGAGAGGCTTTGGAGAGAGCATGGCCCTGCCAGCCTCTGATTTCAGCCTGCTAACCTCTAGAACTGTGAGAGAACGAATCTCTGTTGTTATAGGTGATGTGGTTTGTGGTGCCCCATTATAACAATTCAAGGAAGTTTAATACAGAGACGGAAACCTAAGTGAAAGAGGGAACCTAGAAAAGGCCAGGTCTGTTGTATTTGGAGAACCTGGTAACGTTAACGTTATAATTTCTGAATTTCATAAAGTGTGGAGGACAAGATATAAAGCCTAAGACTTGCCCAAGACGAAAAGTCTACTAAAATAATCCCACTTACCCCCCATAAAGCTGGGGCTCCAAAGGCCAAGTATTTTACTATAAAGATGAGCTAGAGTTGCTCCCACCCTCACCCCCCCATGTTATAGTGAAGATGGCCTCTCAATCTTGTGCGGGGAGGAGAAGAAAAATTCCCCTCTGTGAATCCCTCCCTTGGGTTTATAACTTAAAATCAAAAGACTGCATGGTCCAGAAAATCTCAGGAGTGGAATTTAACATAAAGTTTTTGCAAATTCTTAGGCATCTGCAAAAATGTATGCAAATCCTCTCCAGAAAAAGACCCCTTTAACTCAGGGCACAAAACGTCCCACACCTAGAGGTCCAAGAAATGTGAGTTCACTTTTTAAAAAAATCACAAAACAGACAAGGGAAAAAGAAAGTGCCAAGAGCAAACACCTGCAAAATCATCAGACAGTCAAGTTTGATCTACAGAGTCCTCAAGTCTTGAATCTGTCACATGCAGGATATAAAAGAAGTTGTATAAATGGAATACTACTCAGCCGTAAAAAAGGACAAAGTCGTCCCATTCACAACAACATGGATAGACCTTGAGGGTATTATGTTGAGTGAAATAAGCCAGACAGAGAAAGACAAACTCTGTATGACTCCACTCATAGGTGGTAGTTAACATATGGGCAAAGAGAACTGATCGGTGGTTGCCAGGGGAAAGGGGGGTGGAGGGAGGGCACTAGGGGTGAAGTGGTGTACCTACAACATGACTAATAATGATGTACAACTGTAATTTCACAAGGATGTTAACTTTCATAACCTTAATAAAAAAATAATAAATAAAAAAGTTGTATACTATTTAAATAAGTAAAAGAAGAGATTTAAAATATGAATAAGAAGCAAGAGGCTATAAAAAAAGACCAGTCATCATATTAGAATAAAAATAGAATTTCAAACATAGGGGCTGGCTCCGTGGCCGAGTGGTTAAGTTCACGCTCTCCGCTGCAGCGGCCCAGGGTCCGGATCCTGGGCGCGGACGTGGCACCACTCGTCAGGCCATGTTGAGGTGGCGTCCCACATCCCACAACTAGAAGGACCTGCAACTAAGATATACAACTATGTATGGAGGTTGGGGGGGGGGGCATTGGGAGGGTAGGGTTGGGAAATAAAGCTGAAAAAAAAAAAAAGATTGGCAACAGTTGTTAGCCCAGGTGCCAATCCTTAAAAAAAAAAAAAAAGGAAGATTGGCAACAGATGTTAGCCTAGGTGCCAAGCTTTAACAAAAAAAAAAAAAAAAAGAATTTCAAACATGAGAAATATAAAAATAGAAATTAAAAGCTTAATAAATGGATTAAACCATTAGATGGATATTGTTAAAGGAAAAAAATTAGTAAACTGGAAAATAGATCTGGAGAAACTATTCAAAATCAGCCCAGGAAGACAAAGGCAAAAAATATGAAAATAAAGAGGTTGTGAGCCATGTAGAATTGAGGGATAGGGTTTAATATCTT